ATTCACTTTCATCAATTATTTTAACATATTAAAATTTTTTTTGATAAATTTCACATACTCCCGTTGATCTTTCAATGTTCAAACCAACACACAGTTATATAAAAATGAGTGCACCTATATGATCCGATTGCTCATAATCCAATATGGGCACCATGTCGAACTAGCCCAAAATCCATTTTACCGCTGGCAAAGACTAGGATTTGAAATGAGTATCTTTTACACAGATAATAACAGTTATATCAGATAAAGTAAATAAAGACTTGATTTTTGTTTGATAAATCTAGTTGATGAAATAATTGATAGTTGGTAATTGTTACTTTATGGTTTATGGCTAAAAAACTAGTTAGTTTGATAAAAGTGTACGATAAAATTACTTGATAAGTCAACTGATATAATAATTTCAACAGCCTTATTTAAAAAGTTATCCAATAAACTTATAACATAAACTCGAACTTTGAAAAATATTCGTTCTGTTGGGCTCAGATGCGCAATGCGGAAGATGTAAATTAAAATATCAAGGTAAAATGGTAAACAATAATCCCAATCCCAGCAACTCAAGAATGACAAAAGAAATCTCTTGCAATAAATTTGGAATAATTCTTTTCTGATGTGGAAGATCAGATTAGACTGCAACCACAAAGCATACTAAGAATATCCCAAATAAATAAAATATGCAAGAAATAAGACACCAAGATTTAACGTGGAAAAACCTCCAAATAGAGGAAAAAACCACGGGACAACCTCCGAACAATTCCACTATATTTTCAAGATAATTACAATATTTTTTCACACCCACTTACACTAGAAATGTAAAATATAGTGACCCAATGAGAACCCCACTCTTAAACAAAGAGTAATAGAGTTGATACCCAACCCGGTGTATTTTTCCCACACTCACAAGATTTACTCAAACACTCTATTTTTATCTCACTGAAAAATAACACTCACTCCAGAAACTTATGTTGTTTCTGCTCTCTTTTTCTTTCTTCTTCTCAGTTGGTGCATTTTTCTCTTCCGCCAATGCTCCTATTTATAGTAGAAGATGTCACAAGAACCTGCACCACATAGCTACTTTCTTTCCCCCCGGTGCCAACTAAAGTTTTGTAAATTTTTAGCTGGATTAGCCAAAATTTATGTGGCAGGATTCTTTTTCTTTTGTTTTCTTTTGCCTACCATTATTATTATTATTATATATATATATATTTTTCTTTTTTATTTGGCTTGATTCTGACACGTTCTACTAAATAAATTTTATTTAAATATAATAAACTTATAATTTAATCAAATAATCTATAAACTAATAACTTTTCATTCCATTGAAGATTTCAGTTGGTCCATAAATGTAGGCTTCCCAACACGATTATAGATTTCCGCTTAAATATGTTTTTAGAAAAAGTGTACATACGTATTTATTAAAACCAAAAAAGTCAATAAATGTGAACCCCTTTTTCTTTTCATTGGTGCTTTTTAAGTTTATATTTTTTATTTTTTTATTTTGTCAACTTTTGCAATCTATCTAATATTTCTGT